AATTATTTTTAGCTATCAGAAATGGAAAGGCAGTAAAGGCAGGTTGAATATAAAGAAAAAAATTAATCATGCTGTTCTCTTGTCTTTATTTTTCCTCTGAAGTGACCTGAACTATGAAATTCAAGTGTGGACTTTCATTTCAGAGCCAGCTGCACTTTGGTACTTCTTATTGTGCCATGATTAAGCACTTCAAAATACTTATTGTGAAAGATTCTGTTAAATATATATAATAACTAAGATTTTGTGAGCTTCATGAACTGCCACAATTTTAAATTAGTTGTTACTAATTAGTTGTTAATTTCAAATCTTCAGTTTTTGCAATTAATACATAAAGCTAGTGAGCAATTATTATATTTTCCCCTCTCACTTTTTAGCTGTTCAAATCCCTGAATATTTTCTAGTTCAAATTCTGATTGATCCATTCATTTACAGATGATTTTATATTTTTAAGAAAATAAATCAAGTGTGGCATATGGTTGGACAGAAGAATTTAGAGTCTTGCAGGTTCAAAACATTTTCCTGGGTGCAGGCACTGCCTTGCTTGCTTCAGTGGTTTCTTGCTCAGACCCTGAGAGTGAGGTGAATTTACCTTGTGTTTTGTGAACTGGGAATTATTTTTCAGGTGAAAGCTCACGGATATTCCCTCTCTCCCTGAGTAATTCCCATATTCTGTGCTTCAGGACATCCTTTAAAATCTGTTACTGTTTTGCTTAGTGCACTGCATGCTGGTGTTTTGAAGCTTACATATGTATTCACATATATACATGTGCATCTGTATACATGTCTAGCTAACAATCCAGTCCCACTCTCCTTGCTGTAAACAGGAACTTCATTAGGTTTCTTGAGCCAAATTGTGAACTACTAACACACAGTTGCTCTAAGCACAGAGACTCTCTGCAGATAAGTTCTGGAACTTCATAGCTAATTGTAAATGGGACTTAGGAAACAGTAAAGAAACAGTATCAGTAATATTGGGGTTTAACTTCTTCCACACTTTTCTGTTGCTTGGTTTAGCTCTTTCTTGATTCTTTTTTTAAATTTATTTTTCACCTGCTTACAATTTAAACACAGATGAGGGGAAAAAGATGGCCCTGGCTATCAGGTGAATTTTGAAGGTGTAGATAGGTGACCGGACCTAGGTGAGGACAGGAAGAGAGGTGGGATCAGAGAAAAGTTGATGTACATGAAAATACGCAGGAGGTTACAATTCCTCAGAGAGGGAAAATATCAAAAAGGTGACTTGGTGAGTACAGGAAGAGAGAGGCAGAAATGTAATTCTGTGCTCAGCTGATAGGAACCCTAGAAATGGAATAGACACTTTAGACTAGGTGGGACAAGAGGTAGAAAGGAAATAAAAAGCCATCTGAGAGTCCCAGGGGCAAGGTAGGGTGATAGGGTGATGATTTGGAAAAAGGCACTTAGTTTACAATAGTAATTAATGCAGTGGCCTTTACAAGGACTGTTCCCTTAATGCTGTGGCAATACCAGCAAACTTTTCTACAACTACTGCAAATGTAATAATTCTCCATTATCTTAATTAATGTTTTATTCTTAAGTATCTTCAACATACAACGAGTGTTTCATATTCATTGTTTTCTTTAAGTAGATTTTACTATTCCCAAACTGTCCTATTATTTTGTGCAGTTCTTATAACTAATTAAATTTAAAATATTCAGAGAGGGTTATGTAAGGAGGGAAAACAACAGGCATGGGAAATACCCTGCTGTGTAAATAGATTTTTCATGAATGAGGATCATAATTTTCAGCAAAGCCTGTGTAGCTGTGTAATGCTAAGCTGAGAGCTTCCTTCATTTGTTCTTCATCCAAAATATTTGATGAAAGTACACAAAATTAACATGAAAAGCTGTATTTATAAAGCAGGGATTTGAGAGGAATGCCTAGGATCCAAGAAGCCTGGCATGCCTAAAATGACCAAATTGAGACAGCAGCCTTAACTTAAACCTCCAGGGGGCAAAGCGTGTGTTTAACATATTTAACATCTGCCCTCATATTTCTAGAAGCACAGAGCAATGTGAGTCTGTACAGTGTAATATTTAGACAGGACAGGGACCATCTGCCTCACTCGGAGAAGTGTAGGAGGCATGTATTACTGAAATGGGAAAAGACAGATGTATTTACACCTACATGGTCAGCACCTTTAAGCACTGCTCCGAGGAAACAAGGCTCTTCTTTGGGAGCAGCTGCTTAACCTTGTGATTGTGCAGTGATCAGAAGAGGAGCTGAACTCGCTATCAGTTGGATTTTTACAGTCGCTGTTCAGTGGCCCTCAAAGCACATTCCTTTTCTGCTGTTGCTACTTTTAAAGAATTAAAAATGTAATCTGTTGCAGGACATTTCTAAAAGTAAAAAGCAAGAGTAAAAGAATACCATAGAATTAGCCATTCTGGATTTGTCTGATTTATATGCTTTTAGCATCTGAAAAGCTGCTTTAATACTGCAGATCTTAGTTAAATTTTGCAGGTTTTATTAACAAAAACGTCTGGATGGGAGTTTTTTTCCTAGTATCCAGGACAGCAAAATATTTTTCAGGTACTGAAAGGACTGATCAGTGCTCTTAAAGTCATCTGTCTCACACAGAGCTGAAAAGCGTGTCATCTTACTTGACAAGTGGAATGGCAGTAAATTTTTTAAGTGTTCACTGCAGCCCTATGGGAATGAAAGACCAGAATCTGGAGTTGTGTCATTACTGCCTTGTTTATCTCAGATGCTTTTTTTTTTTTTCCTCATGCAAACATGTGGGTTTTAGAATATTTTCTGATCTGTCATTAAAATCTCTTACTGCTGAGAATGTAAATTTTGTTCAGAGGTATCTCAGAGCATTACCTCCCTTCTTGCCATCACTGTAACTTCCTTGTTCCGTGCCCTGTGTTTCTTTCCTTGCTTTTTCAAGTGTCTCATTGTAATTTCCACACCTTCCTGAAGCACTTAATTTTTGTCCCTATATTTTATCATCCCATTGACTCACTTTCCTGTAGCTTGTACTGTCAGCACATTCTGAGGAGCAGATAGGCTTTCCCAAAGCAGCTCTAATGCTAATGATTAAGGCAGCATCTTGTGTTTTAAAGATTAGGGGGATGTAAGACAGTAAAAGAGCTAGATTTAATAAGTCTCATGCCTCAGTTTCCCTCTGAAAATTTTAATAGTAATGCTGAATTCCTTTTAGGGTCTGGTGAATGGGTTAATTCATTGCTCATTTACAAAGAGCTTATAGATTTGAAAGGGGAAGAACTGTATGATCCATCTCATGCTTGTCCATAAAGGGCAGTGAATCAGGGTGTGTTAGAAGACAGCTTTGTGCTTTGCAGTAGCTTGCAGTAGCTTTATAAGCATTCCTTGTGTTTGTAGAATGGGTTGTAGTTAGTATTCAGTTAGTATTCAGACTGTGGAGACACAGATGAGCTGTAATATGAAGGAGAGAAATAAAAGATACAGTAATTGCCCCAGAAGAAAAACTGTTGTAAAAGTTGGCTTCTCTGAGAGCAGCATTTGTTTTAACTTTCTCAAGGGATGTATAGTCATTATATTTGTATCATAGTTCATTCTCAAATTCCTTATAGCTTTGGTGAAACACTGGGGTGGAACCTGCACTACTTGGGTCTTGTCAAAACAGAGGGACCTACCTCATAGGAAAAGAAATAAACCTCACTTTTTTTCCATCCAAAATATTTAGATAGTGTATTTTTCAACATGAAACACTGTCCTTTCTTCATCCCATCCCTCATTCCACCCTTAGTAAGGAAGGGGAGAAGTAGGTAAATTCTCTGATGCAATTTTTATCATTTTAGTGTTTCTCATTACTTGCATTATAAATATGGAAAATCACTGATACCCATTTGTTTTATTTGACTTGGAGAGCTTCATTTACCCCAGGTTCTACTACTGAAGCAAACAAACCAGGGAGTGCAAAGTCATGATACAATTAAGTAAGCAAAAGTAACTAAAAATATCAAGAAAAAAAAGTAAAGCTAAAGACCTCAGTACAATAGGTCAGCTTTCTTGTGTCCTGAAGACAGACATTCTCTTTCTGACATGTTTCTTAGATGTGTTTGTAGATTAATCTTTTATAAAAAGTTTAGGTAATAGAGCAACTAATGATTTGTAATTTATATGAATTTATATGAAATGCAGTTATTTGCACTACATTTTGTTCAGATGTCAGTGTTTCTGAAAGGATTCTCTCTATGGCAATATATATGGTTATTGCACAGCTCATTAAAAGCTTAAAGAGTTTTTATTCAACATGATAACACAAAATTAAAGGATGTTTCAGTTTTTGATTCACTAAAATGCAGGCTCAGATAGAAATTTCAGAAAATGTGGTTGGGATTTTGAATCATCTTAATTCCATAATTTTCCTTTGAAATTTCTCACTGGCTGTAAGAAAGGGGAACCTCAGTGAGATTTTTGCCTTGGCATGACTCTGTTACTGTCACGGAGCGTAGCCATCTGGTGCTGGCTTTTCAAGGTTGGGTTGTCCTGTAATTTCTACATTCTCTCTCTCAATGAGCATACCATCCATACTGTGTGAAGGAAACAGTGAAAAACAGTTGCTTATATAAATATCACAAGGGGAAAAAAATGTCATCTTGAAAGAAATTAGGTCTTGTGAACATAAAGGAAATGCGAACTTATCTCTCTTACACTTAAGGCTTTTCATTAAGACTGTGATCTTTGGAAGTGGAATTTTCTTCATTATATAAGATTTTGTATCCATGTTAGAAACAGGCAGGCAAACAAAACCTTCCACTGAAGCATGGGTCCACCTGGGTCAATTTGTCATTAAAATAGAGAGAATTTTTTAATTTGCAAGTGTGATCAGGTCAATATAGTGTGTTGTGGAGGAAAAAAAAGCATGTGTTATCTTCTGAAGTGTTGTAATGAACTCAGCTAAATGCTTCTTGCAGTCAGAAAAAATGATGCAGAGAGGGAAAAAAATACTTGCCAACCCTCTAGAGGATAATAATTTGAAATTTTGAGCTCTGAGGCAGATATGACCACTCTCCAATGACTCTATGAATTTATGCTATATATATTCCAGGTTTTAATTTTTATTTGCTATGGGTTATGCAGAAGACTTGGCTTTCCATGAAACAGCAATAGTGCTGGGCTGACCTTCTGTAGAGCCATTAGAATAGTCTTTTGCTCAGGGTCTGAATGTGTTGACTCCACAGAGATCACACAATCCATACAGTTCATACAGTTTCATTGGCTTTTATCACTATTCAAAGATGATAGATTAGGAAGTCTGCTGGTTCTACCAAATGAGCTCTCTACCCCAAAGTGTTAACCAAACATTTATTTAAATACAAGCAGTTAAAGGCTGGTCTGTTAAGCAGAGTTCAAAAGATCTTCAGTGTGGTTTTTGGTCCATCTTGTTAGTTAAAAAATAGGATTTATTTCTGCAATATTCTATTCTTCATTGCATTTTTACATCTTTGCATGTTGAAGAATATATGTCTTAGGTTTGTTCTTTCACCTAAATCGTTTTTAAGAGGATGTCTTCATTCAGTGTCCTTGTGCTCATGTCAAATTTAGTTCACAGCATTATTTTTTATCAGGATGGTATCTGTTTAATTGTGTAGGCATATGGCTGAGGGCTTTATACATCTTGTTATGGTAGACCTTTTCTGTTACTTCATTGCCTGAAAACATTTCACTTGTTTCAACTAGCCAGAATTTATCGCTGAGTCAGAGTACAAAAAGAAAAATGACACATTGGCATTTTCAAAATCAATTATTCAGCACTTTTGTGGATGATGTTACATCCCAAATGAGAATCAAAGCAGCCCTGAGCATGTGAGTAGGTCTAAATTTACCTCCTGTTCCTCCTTTTCAGATTTTAAGCAAATGTCAGTATGGCAATGCCTTTTTCAAGGCTGGTGTAAAGAACAAGGGAGAGATCCTTTAAAATCCACTGAAATGAAGGGGATGCGATGCCTCTTAAGAAATGATACAGTGTGCAAAACACTTGAGAAAAAAATAAAGTAAAAATCATGGTGTAGCTAAATTGTTGAGTGGCCAAAACCACTAAACTTTGTCTGTATCAGGTGATTTTTACTATTAAATGCATTTGAAAGAAGTTAAGGTTCTCTTTCCTGCTTTCCAAGCAAGCTTCTAAGTGGGGAATGAGATTGCTGTGTCCTGAGTTGCTAAAGATTTTGGATTTAATGGTGTGTTTCTATCCCAGGAAAAGGGCTGAGTAATTTTCTCTAAAAGGTTGTGCTTGTACCTGTTTTTGTTATTTTTCCATAGGACTTGTCTCTTTCCAATCAATTTGTAAAACTGTCCCACTCAAACCTTCAGTCTTTAATGGAAAACTCCCACATATTTGTTGCTCTTGATGCTAATTTCCTTTTTCTATTAGTTTTGACTTTAATGGCTGTTTAAGGCTCTTGACTGATTTTGCCTCAGGTGTGTCAGTCGATTTCAGGAAGGAGACCCAAGCTGTGTCTAACTTGAATTAAAACATAAAAGCAACTTCTAACTTGCAGCTGCTGCATGAGGTTTGTGGCAGCCGTTGTGCATGAAGAGCACCCCCTCAGCTCCTGCTTCTGGGGTTGGTGGCTGCTGTGTTGGTGGGACTCGTCCCCTCAGCAGTTGTGTTTGTGAGCATCAGCATGCTGGTTACATAATAGGTCTACATCTCTTTCAGGGCATCATGAATGGTTATAAAAATTATTTTGTTTACCTTCTGCATAAATCTTAATAGCATGATGTACAGTGTACTTGTTGGTAATTGAGTTTTCATCTAATTTTTGTGCATTTTTCCCCTTTACGTGAAGACCTTACCTGTTTGGAGCAGGATGTTTTTCCATAAAAGCTCCATGGTGAGTTCCCAGTTCATACCCAGCATGCCTATAACTCATTTGCTATCCTCACTGATAACAACTCTGTGCTTAAGACTTTTTAATTTTTAAATATTTTTTTTTATATGTTTACCTGCATGGCTGATCCATAGATGGAAGCACTGCATAATTTCACTTTTAAACTTGAGATGTGTGTTCACCATCAAACATCGTCAAAGAAATGCATTCACTTTTTTTCTTTTTTTTTTTTTTTTGTTTTACCATTTATTTTTTAAGTAGCAGAGAAGTTGAAAAGTAATTTATTTCACCTTGGGCAAAAATGATTGTAATATCTTTCCAAAACAGTCCTCTTCTTTGTTTATATAAATATATATTTATAACTTCCTTTATTACTGTAGCACTAAGTTACTTACAGACAGAAAACACTGATGACAACCTCTCAAAACCAAGCCAGATTAGCAGTGAGTAAAGCAATGCAGTAAGAGATGAAGCAAGTAAAACGGACACTGAAAAATTAGAAGAAAATCACCACAGTTCTTTTAAGATAAGAATATTTGAAATAATATGGGGGGGTTGGTTTTAATTTGTAAAATTGCAACATATTACAAAAATACAGACAGAAGGAAAAAAGTTTTACCAAGTTTCCCTGTGTTGGAGCTTGGTTCATTGTTGATCCAGTGCTACCTCCAGGCACCTTTTCATGATGAGATGGGGGTTAGGTGGTTGATGTTTTAGGCAACAAGAATGAAAGAAGTTTTAAGATCTTACTTGGAAAATTTAGAGACTTTCAGCTATAAGTTTTCTGGGTTTGTTTTGGTTGGGTTTTATTTTTTAAGTTTAACTAAGGATGCTTATTAGCTGTATCTATCAGTATATGTTAGAATGTTTGTTTGTGGCTCTTGTTTCTGGTACTCAAATTTTTTTCCACATGTATCACCCCCTTATGTCTCTGTCAAAATAATTCCTTCAGCAGAATGAACTTGAGAACTTTGTTAGGATGCAGAGTTCTTAAGAGAATGGCAGAGGACAGCAGGTGAGGGCTGTACCAGGCAGGGAAAGCAAAGGCACTAAATGTGAAACCAAAGGAAAGAAGGTGCCATTGTCTTATTCCTAGAGAATATCTGATTATTGGAGCAGACTCCCTGAGAACCATTTCTAAATGTAGTTATGATTCACCTAAGTATTTCATCTGATGGTGATCTGAGAACTGGCTCTGGAAGAAGAGATTTGAAAGTGGATTGTTTTAGCAAATGGATGTGTTGGTCGTCCCCTGCGTGAAGCAGCAGAGACTCTTGTCAGCCAGAAATGGTTTTACAGAATCACAGAATCTTAGGGGTTGGAAGGGACCTCAGAAGATCACCTAGTCCAACCCCCCTGCCAGAGCAGGATCACCCAGAGCACATCACACAGGAACGTGTCTCCAGGCGGGTTTTGAATGTCTCCAGAGAAGGAGACTCCACAACCTCTCTGAGCAGCCTGTCCCAGGGCTTTGTCACTCAAAGTAAAGAAGTTTTTTTTCTGATGTTTACAAAATTTTTCTTATTTTTCTTTTTCCACTTTTTCTCTCCCCTCTTTTTTCTTTTCTTGTTTCTTGGTGGTTTTAGATTGAGGCAAGATTAAAAGGCTGAGATTAAAGAGGGGAATATATGGCATAGACTCAAAAATTGTTGCCTGTCTTTCACAAGACTCTCTTGTGGTTTGTTTAATGCCAATGCTAGCTCAAAAATATGGTCTTTACTGGTCTACAGAGAAATTAGGACACTTTGGATGGGGAAGAAATCATATTGTTTCCATTAAGGTCTTAATGAGACTTAAAATTATGTAAAAAAATATATGTATGGAGATTTGACAATTTAGTGCCTGCAAATATAGAAGTCTACCATTTATTTTCTTGCTTTTTCTTGCTTTTTTTATAATTTGACAACTGGAAACATGTCTTTGTTTTCTTGTTTTAGGCACAATGATAAATTAATTAAGATTTATATGTTTTGAGACGGAGATGCTTTTTCAGTAATTTGACGTGTAATTGCAGATTTTATGCAGTATTTTTCTCCTGATACTTTCATTGCTGCTTATGTTGTCTAGATAAAACTTTTGCCTTCAAAAACCATGTATTTTTCCATTTCAGTGGGTTTAGCTGTGAGGTTGTGGATAAGTGCTTTTGTTTTTATAAATCTAATGTACTTGAATCCTATTGATTGAGAATATAAAATCAATGTGATTCTTAGTCTTTATAGACCCTTAATATTTTATTGATAATATTTTAATAGTAAGCAGCTCCTTAATATTACAGGTATGCAGTTTATTATTTTTTAAGTCATGTCACTTGTTTGACAGTGAACTTAAAGACAAACTGAAAAGCCAGCATTTTATTATGAGACACAGCTCTGTGAGGAACACTCCATCACTGTCCTGTGTGGCTGCTGGTTTTCATACTCACCTAAGGTTTGAAAAATATTTTAATAGTATTCTTCTTCATTCTTCCTTACATAGAGAAGTGAATAATAACAAAAAATTAAACTACTTTAAATACTTTGCTTTTTTATACAGAGCTAATACAATACATTTCCAGAGATACGACAGTTTGATTTGTTACAAAAGTCAACTAGAATTGTTTCAGTAGCTCTGAATCTTTTCTTATTGTGTTGTCAGCATGAAATAACTGTTATCCTACTGCTGAATCTCTTTAGTTCTTTTTAAGATCTGACAAAGTGATGCCTGTATTTTCTTCTTTAGCTTGCTCCCATCCCTTTTTATGCCTTTCAGTAAAAAATGCTCATGTATGTTTTTCATTGGACATGTTTACACCTACATCTCACTGCTTCTGCATTTAAAACGGAAATAATGCTTTGAAAGTTGTGTTAGAGAAGTTAATTATTATCAACAATACAAATTCCCCTAAATACAGCAGTATTTATCTGGAGTTTGGGATTAACTTGTAGTAGGTGACTGACTTCAGCTGTGGTAGGTGAATGTCAGCTATTGGTAACTGAAATGACACAAACATGGACTTCAGTTGAGGCCCAGCTCTTGTTAAAGTTATAGCAGAACAAGGACTATGAAATTAAAAGGTTTTGTTGTTCCGGTTGTAGTCCTGCTTGAAGGGTTCTGCACAGGTACAATCGGGATAAAAATACTGCTGTGTCTCACTGAATTCTTGCTGTAGTAAAAGAGCTGAGAAGACCCAGACAGGAAAAAAAAGACGGCCTTTTTATTCTCCTTGGGTCTCAAATATTGTGCTGTTATTTCTCAGTGTGGAAGACTGAAATTATAAGGCTGAGTGTTTTGGTCCCAAAAGTTTTACTTCCTTGTTTTTTTGGTTGGTTCCCAACAACCTGCACTTCTTCCTGCATCACAACCCCTTTCACTAAAAACATGGGACAATCTTTTGGAAGTTAGCATATGGTGAAGATTCTGAACTGTTTCTAAAAATTAGGCCGAAAGTGCCTTAATTTCAGTTCTTGGAATAATTTATGAAGTGCTGACAGGCTAAGAGCAAGTAAAGAGCAGGAGTTCATAGCAGAACAAAGTCATTCACCACCTACCTTCAACATTATTGTTGTGTTATCATTTATAATACTGAGAGGGTGTTTGCATCTACATAATAATGAGGATTTATAGTTTCCAAGTTGTTAAAATATCACCATGACAACAAAATATATTTTTCTAATGGCATTACTGTTACTGAAAATAACTGGGCTTTTGAAGTTTACTGAAAGAAAGACATTTGAGTTGGAATGTATTGATGAAAACTCAGGGATGAAGTAAAATGGTGGTAAAATGAAAGATTCCTTAGTTGCAATAGCTTTCAGAATAGACTTGTCATCTTGGCAGTTTCTTCAGAAATATGTCTGAACCAGTATGATGCACTAGTAGTTTTTTTGGTGTTTGTGTTTCTTTCTTAGCAGGACTAAGTTTAACCACGAGTCATCATGTTTTACGAGGTCTGCTCTGTCTACCAAACATCATTCTTGAAGGGAAAATGTTTTGGCACTGAAGCCAACACTTAAAGGCATGCCTTGAAAGACCTACATCTTCAAGACATGGTGTAAACAGAATGTAGCTTAGACCATTTCCTCTGGAGTTGTTTATATCTGGGTTTGTTTGAGCACAGATCTTTGGGACTAAGGGTGTGGAGAACCCTGCGAAAATGTTGTTACTGTATGATCTTCTCTTCTGCTTAAAGGCTTGATCATATGGTGGAAGTCATTTATGTCTCTGTAGAAGTTGTTTGTGTTGAGTAAAATTCCAGAATAGTAAAAATTTATAGAAAAATTCTCTTTTTCAAGAGGAAGTGAATATGGCTAAATCATACCTGTATTTTTAGTTTGCTTTGAATTGCTTGATGGGCAACACTGTTCTTCTGAACAATTGTTTTTTTAATTATATAATTATATTTTACATATATACTTTTATACTGTGTTAAAAATGATTATTGAGTGAAGTATAGATCAGTAAGTAGAAACTTGTGCACATATTAACATGTTCAATTCTGAAGGAAAATTAGTGCATGAATAGCTGGAAGGCAAGAGTTAAAAATAGTCATTGATACAGAGTTTGTTATAGAACTGTTTAAAAGTGCTATTTGTATGACAGGTGACTATTTCAAATTTGAAGATATTCTAATAATAAATACATAATAAGTTAATATAAATTTCAATTTCTAATATAGATCATCAAATACCACTGCAAGCAAGGTAACATATTTATAGTCAGGAACTTTTTTGGAACACAGATTTCTGACCCAGTAATCTGCAGCTGTAGTTTTAAAAGTAGGATATCAAGTGCTTTCTGGTGGTTCAATATCAGAGTTACTGACTGTAAATCACAGTTGCTTTCTTGAGATGTTCTAGCTTCTCCTGCATGCAAGAGACCTTGGGCAACACTGTTCTTCTGAACAATTGTTTTTTTAATTATATAATTATATTTTACATATATACTTTTATACTGTGTTAAAAATGATTATTGAGTGAAGTATAGATCAGTAAGTAGAAACTTGTGCACATATTAACATGTTCAATTCTGAAGGAAAATTAGTGCATGAATAGCTGGAAGGCAAGAGTTAAAAATAGTCATTGATACAGAGTTTGTTATAGAACTGTTTAAAAGTGCTATTTGTATGACAGGTGACTATTTCAAATTTGAAGATATTCTAATAATAAATACATAATAAGTTAATATAAATTTCAATTTCTAATACCACTGCAAGCAAGGTAACATATTTATAGTCAGGAACTTTTTTGGAACACAGATTTCTGACCCAGTAATCTGCAGCTGTAGTTTTAAAAGTAGGATATCAAGTGCTTTCTGGTGGTTCAATATCAGAGTTACTGACTGTAAATCACAGTTGCTTTCTTGAGATGTTCTAGCTTCTCCTGCATGCAAGAGACCTTCAGGACTGATTGAAGTCTTTAATGTCTTCATTCTGTTGAGCCACTTCACCTGTATACAAGTAATTTGTCATTAAAAAAAAGTAGCACGAATTAAGTGCCATTATGATAACACATAATGTTTGATTGGTTTTCTACTGTTTTAAAATATTTTTCTGCTGATTAATTTAATCGTAATACTGCAATAATTTGTGTCCATCTACATATATGCACATACTTCTTAGAAATGAAGATCATAGCTTAAAACCACCCAAGTGAATGTGATGGTGTAATCACAGGCTGATATGCTGTGGAACAAGAAAATAATGGGAGAAAAAAAAGGAAAGCAGGGAGAGGTAGCAAGAGAAGGGAGCAGTCAAATTGAGTAGAGAGAGGAATAATCCAACTAAAAGACTGGAAACAGGGAACGTGGAGGAGGAGGAATCCTGTGTGAACTTGTCAAAAAACTTTTCAGGCAAGGGTGAAATCCTGGGTTAATGAATTGAGGAAATGGACAATTTCCTCAAATCTCAAAAGTAGGTCTGAGTTTACAGAAAGCATAATGTTAGGTATCATCAGATTCCTGTAAGGAGGAATACTAAATGATGTTTCCATGAAGCATAATTATGAACTGCTGTATCTGCTACGTTTATTGTGGGGGTTCAGAGGAGAATGTGTCTTAGTCTCTTTTTACATGATGCAGTAACTGATATTTGTTTTAAAGTGTAGCTCATGAGTGTTTACATTGTTTCCCTTTCCCTGTATCCTCCGCATGCTGTTCCCTCCTACCCTTTTGCCCATGTCACATGGATCCTGGTGGTTTCAATGGCATCAGGTCTGTGCTGAGTTACAGCTGAGCAGCACTCCGTGGTAGCATCCTTTGGAAGTTTCTTTGGAAAGTGCAAAAAAATACCACCCACCTAGAATGACTGACCCAGAATCTGTGTTTTCATTCCCAAAGGATTTATAAATGTTTGTATTCACTTCAGAAGATGCTTCTATTGAATGCAAATATTCAATATTGGGTCTTTTAAAGAGTACAACTAATTTTCCATTATGAGCCAGTGCTCTTCTCCAAGTTAATGAGTCCAGTGATCCAGGGGGAATTTGGTGCATATTATTGAGAAACAAAAAGCATCTGTAAGTCCTGCTAAATGTAATGGGAACTGCAGATACTCACTTCTGAATTAATATCTTAGAATGACTGTTGAGCAAAGGACATCTTCATTTTGGAGAATGAACTTTTATAATGTTGTTTTGTTCTTTCTTTAAGCAAATCCAAACCAGCTCCACAGATTTCACCCAGTAAGTCTGTGGGAGGAGAGTTTTGTGTTGCTGCAGTCTTTGGATCGTCAAGGTCCTGGTTTGCAAACAATCCTGGTCTGAAAAGAGAAAAAGGTTGGTATGTTAAAAATGTAGTTCGATATATTAAAAGTAGTAGTAGTAAATTCTCTATCTTCTTTTCTCATTTTCTGGTAACTTCTGAGCAGATGGTGCTTATCTGTAGATTTTGTTCCTTAAACTCAGTGACAGTGGAGATTTTTGGGAACACGACTGGGGTGCTTTTGATAAAAAGGACAATTTTCAAGAAATTTTAATCAGTGAAATAAAGAATTGATCTTTTATTATGATGTAATGACATCTGCTGTTCTGTTGCCATAATGTTTTCTTTCTCCTTGCACACAGATCAATCAAAGCAGTTTGTAGTGGAGTCGTTGTATATTATCAGCTGTTACGGAAACCTGGTGGAGCACGTGTTGGAACCGCGCCCGCTCAGCACGGCTCCCAAGATTAGTGATGACACACCTTTGGAAATGATGACCTGCCCCAGAGCCAGCTGGACTTTGGTTAGGTAGCTCATTCTTTTTACTTTTTCTACTTCTTTTTGTCCAGAAAATGATTGTGAGCTTTTTTTTATTATTATTGGTTTATATTTTAGGAGTGAACGAACCACATCATGATTTTCACCCATATTTTGATCTTACAGTTTATCTTTAAGGCTGATAAGGTTTTCCATTAAAAGACTCTCAACAGCAAAATCAAGCCTATCTTTTCATATCACTCTGTTAGTGCTTACAAGTCTGGATGGGAGCTAACCATATAAATACTTCTGTAGACATGGAGCTATGTGAACCTGTTAACAGATCAGTGGAGGTCCTTATCAATTAGTGATTTTAAATGATCAGATTGTAATTTAGTTTTTTATATAAGGTCTAGAAGCAATTATTTTAATAGTGTTAAAGTACAGAATTCTGCCTTCGAGACTTGAGTGAGGTCTCCATAAAGACGCATTGCAAAGAATCAGGCGAGTTATCCTGTAAGTAGCTGAAGGGAGCATTTCTTGAACCAGTTGAAGAAATGATTCCCGACATGTGGAAGAAAGTAAACAAAAATTGATGAGAAAGTGTTGTCAGTGCTTTTGACATTTTTAAACATTTTTCTATCGATTTTTCTTGTCTCCTATATTCCTTAGTGCTTCTTACGGCTGGACTAGATTGATCAATACTTGATTGACCAAGCTATTTAGGAATGGCCCACCCTAATTAAAATTACAACACAGACTTCTAGACCATTATTGTTGAAATGAGTAGGTTGTAATGGAATTGAAAATTCTAATTGGATCAATAGTCCATAACTTTACACAGCTTTATTTTCACAGTTTGCAAATGCTCAGCGATTCTACAGTATCAGAGCAATGCTAGTTAACAGAACAAAAAAGTTCCCCAGCTTCTGGTTTGTGTTTATATAACGTCAGCATGACATACAATGGTCCTAAATGTATTTACCAACTTAATCTAAACCACCTTTATCATTTTTTTTTGTGCACAATACACGCTGCAGTCAACAAGCAAGTATTGTCTTTGCCTCACAATCTGCGCGATTCAGTCCTGCTGCTCGGCTGCCTGTGGTGTGTTGCAGTGTTTGAACAAGCTAATTTAAATAATTACAAACATTTTGTGAGCTTGTATAGATAATTACATGTGATGACAGAAACACTGATTTACGTTCTCTGTATTAGCTAAAATATTAATAGTCTTGTGTTTTACCTCAGAACTCCTCAGTGGAATGAACTCCAACCACCATTTAATGCAAACCATCCTCTGCTCCTGGCTGCAGATGCTGTACAGTACTACCAATATCTTCTTGCTGGCTGTGAGTAGCTGACAACTTTTTATATTGTTTTACATTTAATCCAAATGCAGCTTTCTGAGGTTTTTTTTTTCAACTTGCATTTGTTTCAGTGCATGTTCTGCCCCAAAATAGGGCTTCATGTAACCAGCTGTATTAGAAACAGTAGAGAAACAAATATAGTTTCTTTCTCATGTGAATCAAAGCTATGAGACTCTCACATAGACAAAATGTAGGTGCTTGGCAGGCCTTCAAAGTGTGACCCACTAGATCCCCTAAAGTCTTCATGATCTCTTCAACTAATTTCTTCTCATGCTTTTAGCCATTTTCTCTCATGAACTTGGTGACAAGAGAGTGCATCTGCATTTTCCCTCTCCCCTGGAACTCCTGATTGCTGGGCTACTTCCAGCCAGAGTCTCAGACAGCTGCTTCCCTGGGGAGCCTTGGCACTGCTTCCAGGGATGACTGTCCACCTGCCTCATCCTGGGTCTTACCCAACCCTGTTGTTCACAGGGAGCCAATATGCATGACACTGAATAGTCACATACATTCATATCTATTTATCTAGATATATGATATGTGCATATTATATATATAAACCCAGGTATTTTATATTGCTATTATAAATAAATAAGTATGTTATTTTTTATTTTGCCATTTTATAAAGAATATTATCAGGGAGTATCAAGTCTCTCTTTTTTATCTTGGGTGTAGTCAAAATCAGTGTGATGTAGCAGTTAAAAGTTTCACAAGGGAGCAACTGTTGGCATGTATAAAAGTGCTCAGAGGGAAATTAGATCCTTCTGTCCAGTTGGGAGTGCAACTGACACCAGCATGTTATGTGACACAGGCATTTTTAAATGCAGAAAATGGACACCTGGGCGAAAAGGCACTAATTCTGAATCTGACTGGTAAAAGCAACATTGGCAGCAGATCTGTTGCATCTACCTGTCCATCTGTTGCGTGCACTCAGAGCTCAATATGTTGTGGAAACCCACAAGGTTAGGAAATTCCTTTTTCCATTCTGTGTAGAAAAAGGAAGAAAACTCAAAAGGTAGAAAAGAATACAAAACAGTAATTAATAGCACACAGCACTGTGTCAGATGTGCTCTTGGGTCTGAACAAAAGTCTTTCTGTGAGCAGGAGTGCTTACGTACACAGATCACATTTCTCCCACATAAGGAAATCAGGGATGGATGTGGTTCACTCTGTGTATTTCATTAACAGCTCAAATACTAGACAGTTCAAATGTTATTGTATGGGAAACTTTTTAAAGGAAGAAGAATGAGTGGTTTGCTAAATTCCAGCAAAATAATTAATTTGTATGATTTGAATTACAGTGAATGTTTTCATCCACATAACAGGAGTTCATTAAGATGGGTGTGTAATATAAAGAAAAATAAAATAATAAACTTTGAAGATAAAAAAGCATAGCAAAAATGGCTTGAACAGAGAAGTTTGTGTATATCTGATAATCTTTGAAGTTTTATTTATTTTCTGAATTTATCTCAAGCTACACAAGGAAGGTTCAGAAAGCAATGGAGTCAAACCAGGATTCACACAAGAGTCCAAGACACCTGTTAGTTTCCCCCCATTAAATGCATGCTAAAATGAAGTTATCTGGCTCTGCTTACCTGCAGTAATGTAGTGGGTTGGCATTAGCTGCAGCCTGTGGTTTGATGTGCTATCACTTCCGTCAGTGAGTTTAATTGCCAGCAAATGGCTAAATAGGGGTTGAGGGTGAATGTTACATCTGTCTGCCACGTTAGTGGTAAGAGGAATTCTGGCGCCGTTTCAGGGTCACTATTTGGATCTGTCTATCAGAGGTAGAATACAGCAGTTTCTCTCAGTTTCTGTATAGCATTTCTGCCAATTGTTTGGCTCCATTAAGTGTGCAGGGGAAATAAAAGCCTGAATGACCAAGTCACAAGGGGGTATGGATAGACCCTTTCTTTGTCCACACTCAGAACATTGCATTAGGTCTCATTATCCATTTATAATAAGTGACCTTTGCCCCCTGGGTCATTGAAAAATACTCAGTGTGCTTTTTAGCACAGAGTACCCCTGTCAGCAGACGGGCAGAACAATGAAACGTCTGGCAGTCTGGTTAGAGGGCTGTACTGTGCAGGTTTTCATAAATATGCAGTTTGATGCCAAAATACAGGACCAAAAATCTTCCCTGGTCTCTGAAAACTATAAAGTAGGCCAGTGAGTTCTTGTGTTAAAAAGAGAACAATCTAAAAATACTGCATTTAGTTATTTATGCACAGTTCAGCTTTTAATATTTTTAAAGAATCTTAGTTATATACACAGCTAATAGGGCAGTAACAAGGAACCATTGTTTGAAGAAATATTTTGTACAACAAGTGTCCAAGACCTTTATCCCAAGGGTATTTGTAAGTGGATTAGCACAGCTGTTTCATTGCTTTGAGGTCATCTGTGACATCTGCTGCAGAAACCTGGATCAGAGTCTGCAGTTCCTATCTACCTGAGTGCTTTATCACAGCCGTGTCTGGTGCAAAGAGGTGAGAAAGTGGGTAGGGAGAGATTGAGAGATTTGGACCTTTCTGTAAGTTCATGGCTTGAAAGTGAACTCGCATGTAAAATTCCACAACCTGCTGGTCTGCAGGAAGTGTCTGTGTCCTGCTCCTGAATGCTTCAGGCTTTTTACAGTTGGTCAGACTGAAAATAACCAGTCCTGAGAATCAACTTACCTTCTGAAGGAGCAGATTTCAGATTTGTTTTTGTAAGAGTTCATGCTGGAAAGCCCTGGATGTGTTACAATCCTCAGGTCTTTAGTGCTGGGTGTTAGTTGCTAGATGTTTCTCTCCTACCCTTCACAGCTTTAAAGTGTAATATTTAACCTTCTTTATCTCTGTAGCATTCCCTCATTATTTGCCTGTATTTTGAGCAACTTCTAAGTCTAATCACAACAGTGGAAGGAAATGTAAGTCACAAATTATTCTTCCTAGGTGTTTTTTTCTATAATTCAAGTACCACCTAGTATAGGTAGACTGTCTTAGCAGAGAGGAGAGCTGTGCCAGGCACTGCGTGCATACATAGCAGGGAACTCAGGGCCACTTGGATCCAAAAGAACTTACCACGTAAAGGACTTGGCTTTCTGCAAAGAATTGCCAAGTTTCATTGTTATTTTTTCTTTAAATACTACTTGCTTCCTGCTGTTTAGTACTTAGGAATTAAGATGCTTCTCATGGTATAAACTCTCAAGGCATGCTATTAAGATCTGCTTTTCACTTCCATGACAATCAGCTGTTTGTGTTCACATTTTTTTCTGATAAATACCTTTCTCTTTTATTACCAGGACCTGAAGTCTTACATATTTGATTGACTTAACCCATGTTTCCTTTGTTTTACTTCTGTACCCTCCATTTTTGCATCTTTGAATTCAACCAGACATGTACCTGGTACATAATGGAAATGCATTGAAAATAAGTAACTTGACGTAGCAGCAGGAAGCCTTACATCCTCATTTCATACTTTCTTTCTTCCTTACCCATCCTCTTGAATTCACTTCTTCATTGCACTAGAGAAATGGACTCTAGTTTAGATCTCTGAAATATGAACAATTAACACATTAATGAAATCACTTGAAATCAGACCAAAAAAGGTTGAATAAAATGAGATATAATTTCTCACCTCTGGCTCTGGAAAGGGCACCTTCACATTCCAGTCAAGAGTTTTGGCTCATCAGGACCAATTTCATAGAGCTGACCTGCAGTTGTCAGAAGCAGGCCAATGACAAGAATTAATATATTAACTGGTGTGCAGTACTCTTTGACAAATTGCTTACTAAATACATCAAAATTGATTGGACGTTCTGTGTTTAAATTGACAAATGACTGCATTAGGGGAAGGAGGGAAATCCATTAATTACAGCTGCCCTCAACCATAGGAAATGTAATCGTATAAATATAGATTTTGTTAAAACAAAAGTCTCTACTTTACTCTAGTGTTGCTGGTAAGTGTACTTGCACCTCTTTGCTATTAAACCTCCAATAGGAGGTTTTGAAGACAGATCTTTGTGACTGGCTTTTAAATAATCAAAGACCATTTCTGTTGTGTTAAAAGGAATGATACAGTGTTTCTTTATCCCACTCTGACCGCTTCTGGAAATTGTTTCTCTCTCAGAAAAATGGACACAGAGCTGAGGCTTCTGCTGTCTCATTAATTGTTTATTCTAAATGCAATATAATTGATGCACCACCATGGTAGATTCAAACCAGTTCTCTGTGTTCTCATTCTTTGTTCCTGTGCTGGTCTCCAAGTAATACTTAAAGGGCTGTTACTTATTTCTGAAAAAGAATTTGCTCTTGAGTTAGGCCTGAAGATATAATCAGTTTTATAGGTTTTGTTAAGGGATTCTTGAGAAGATTGAGGTCTGTATTTATAGCTGCCTTTGACTTTTGGCTGTTAGAACAGATTTTCATTTCTGGACCAACATATCTTGCATTTTACTGAAAATGGCTTTCATTAGCAGTCAAACTTGGTAACTATTCATTGTCTTCAAAGGGAGGGGGCTAGCCTTTCCTCACTGTTTGTTTGGGCTACATGATAACACAATTTATACAGATAATCTCTAACTCTGACATCATATTTGCACTTCCTGCTCCCTCTAATGCAAGCTGTGTGCCCTGAGCAAGACTTGTGTCTCTAAGCAACACTGTGGTTCTTTATGGCCTATTTTATATTCCTTTCATACATTCCATTGATGGAAATAAAAATTCCATACATAGAGCTGGTGAATATTGTGCAGTGGAAAGCAGGACTGAGAATAAGAGTAGTAAGTGTATTAAATAACTCTGTGAATATGTGCTATGAAGACAGATGCTATGAAAAACAAGCAATGATGCAGGTAATCACAGCAAAAGTGCTGCCAGTGGAATTGCCCTGAGCAGCTGCAGGAAGGACTGGGGTTGTTCTGGGCTTTCAACCTTTCCCCTGCACAGCAGCTCACACTGGGGGTCTGGTGAGAGGCTGACCCACTGGGACTGACAACTGGATCT